TGCCAGTTGGGATGTGGGGCTGAAGTCACAAAATGCCTGCAGCCACCCTATGCAAGGAACTGTACTCCAGGGACCAGCTTACACTGAAAAAAAGCCACATACAAATACACAAGAGGGCACTTGACAAACATTTATTGAGCACCTACTATATGCCAGGCCTGCGTAGGGCTCCGGGAAAACAAAGTCACCGCAACCTAGTCCTGGCCCGGAAGGAGCTCACAGTCTAGTGGGCCAACCATCAATCATAGTAACAGCGGCGAAGGTGCATTTAGCGTCACGATTTTACAATGAGCTTGTATACACGTTTTCTCAATTGTGAACATCCAGCAACACAGCCACGTTGTTTAAAAGCACACTGGCATAAATGTAAACACACTCACACGATTGAAAGGGTGAAGAGTAACCAACTGCAATAATTCACATTCCTGTTTCAGAGCCAGAGTTTCACCATCATTTATTCCCTCCTGCTAGGGAGGGTACAAGTTTTGCCAATCTGCACAAATGGTGGCAGACACAGGAGAGTCCCATGGCCCATCAGACATCACACACAATTGGTTCTGAATCTTTGCCCGCTGCCTTCTCTCCACTACCTAGCACTAGTCTTCTAATCTCCCCTGGACAAGGGTCCCACACATCCTTGGGCTCCAGGTGAGTCAGATGGGGAGAAAAGACCATGTCCCATGAGTCAACCACACTGTGAAATTCCTCACACCTAGTTTGGCTTATGCTGGCCCAAGGGTGACACCAGCTCAGGTAAGGATAGCGCCCTTAGGCCCAGATCCTTCTAACTCAGATCCTTCCTGATTTAGAGATTGGCTTTCTGGATGGTCTCAAAACCCAGCTGAATCAGTGTCACATGGGAGTCCTAGCTGTGCCTCCCTCCCTGAACACGCAGTATTTATCAGGAGCAAACAGAATGATCTTATTTGTCCCACTTGCCCCTGGGTTCTAAACAGGTCAGTGCTGTGTGGGGTCAGAGGAAGCTACCATGCCCTTCAGAGCTCCCTATCACCAAAGCGGAAAAACAAACCCTCACAATGATCTGGCCTGTGATGGTAGTTTAGGAGGGAAATAAATCTGGTGAAGAGATGCAAGGTGGGCCATCTCCTGGTCTGGGGAGCAGGAAACCAGGCAAAGGCCCGGGTTCAATTAAACCAAGGAGTAGGACAAAGTGTTCGGCTGAGCACACAGAGCTGAAATGTTGAAGGCAGGGCTACATTTAGGACCCACATCCCCACCACAAGCTGGCCACCACGATTTCAAAGGTCAGCTCCTAGGGTGTGAGTGTTCCTGGGCACCCAATTCTGTGGCCTCTGAGACGGTGGCCTGTCAAGTGAGTCAGAAAATACATGTCCAGGGCAGGCGTAGGGGGAAGGGGTGAGGTGCTTCTCTGTGACTGACACAAGTCAGCCCCAGGTCCTGTTCCAACCTCTGGGGTGGGGGGCTTTCTGGCTCCTACCCAGGACAACCTTTCAGCCCTCCTGCCCCTCAAGTTCACTCCAGGAGGCCAGATATCCTGCTAGCAAGCCCCTTCCCCCAATGATGGCCCAGACGGAACTCTCTTAATAAAAAAAAATAATTTATTGTCAACAAAGGAGATACATACAACAGGAAAACAGGAGAAAAGGAGTGGGAGTGAATGAAGCCCCCAAGTGGGCTGCCTGGGCCTCCTGCAGGGATGGAGCTGGAGCGGGAAGAGGTAATGGAGGTCTCCTGCTTTAGGAGCCTGAACAGGTGGGGGAGGAGAGGTGTCCCCTGAGGTAGTGGGATCAGCTCAAACCCCGTGGTGACCACCTCTTTCGTGTGTAAGGCACTGTGCCAAGGGAGAATGGGGAGGGGCTAAGACAGGGTGGGAGGAGCTTGGGGGACAGAGAGGTCTGGATCAGCAAAAGGATCGGGGTGGGTGTTCTCCACTGCCCAGTGCCCTACCACAACACAGCCTCGGCCACCCTTGCCGGGTAGACACTTTTCTGTGCCCCCCATTAACAGCAGATGCTGCCCCCCTCCTCTCCTCCATCCTGCCTTGGCACTCTTCATCAGGTAGCAGAGTAGGCAGCTCTGAGTGAGAAGCCAAAAGGGACACTGCCTCTTCCACCCCTTCCCCGGGAGAGCAAGAACCTATACACCACTCCCTGCCTCTTGCCACCCCCCCCAGCGGTGCTGATTCCAACAAAACCGCAGGCCAATCTGAGGTGTCACCTGCTCCCACACCCTTGGTGCCCTGGGGATGCTTGGACCAGTCTTGCAGTAGGCTGACTGCCGGGGGCTCCTCCATCCATGCGGATAACCTGGAGATCCAGTGTCCCGCGAAGCCCCGGAGGGGGAGCTGGGCAGGAATGGGAGCAGAGAGCAGAGTCAGGGCCCTCCAGACACCCCACTATGAGGGTGTTCCTGAAGGTCTCTGCAAACCACACCCGTTTCCAGAGTCCAGTGCCTAAGCCCAATGAGCAGATTCTGCTTTGTCCTCACAGAAGCCGGTCTGTCTCCCTGATAAGCTATAAGGTCCTTGAGGGCAGGCTGAGTCCCACTCATTCAGTCCTTAACTCAACAGTAACTTACTGGGCTACCACACTGTGCCCAGCACTCTTCCAGCTGCTAGGGGTGCAGCAGTGCATGGTGCACAGCAAGAGGCTTTCTTGGAATTTACGGTCCAGTAGTGAGAGCCAATCAGCAAGAATAAACAAAAGACGCGATATGACACACAGGGAGAGAAGCAAAGGAAAAAAATACACCAGGGAAAGGGCTAGAGAGGCTCTCACAAAGCTGACATGAGCAAAGATGGACAGGAAGTGAACAGTCAGCTCTGCAGAGCTGGGGGAACAGCATTCCAGGTGAAGGAAGGACAGTGCAGGTGCCAGTGCAGAGCGCACCCGCTGCTGTAGGAACAGCAAGGCCAGGGCCTGCAGAGGGGGTGGGCGGACAGGTAAAGACCCTGGGGTGAGGATCACACCACCACGAGGACTCGTGCTTTTATCTGGAGAGTGATGGAACAGCCAGAAGGACTTTGAGCAGAGCAGGGACAGGATAAGATGGGTTCTCAATAGGGACACTGGCTGCTCTGAGACCAGACCACATCGGGCAAAGATAAGAAGCCAGAGGCCAGCTGGAAGGCTGTTACAGGAACCAGGGAAGACACAGCTTGGATGAGGGTAGCCGCATGGAGGTGGTGACAGGACGGTGAATTCTGAACACACTGGAGGCAGGGTTAAGACTTGCTGATGGTTGGTGTAGGGTCTGAGAAACAAGAGGATGACCACAGGTTTAAGCCAAGCAAACTGAAGAACGAGGTGGCCAGTCTCCTCCAAAGACAAGGCCGGGGAAGAGTAGACTGGCGGGGAGGGGCGGCTGCGGGTCCCACTCCGAAATGCCGAGCATGAGGGAATGTTTAGACCACCAAGAAGAGATGTCACACGGGCAACTGGAAGAGCGGTTGGGACCAAGGGGAGAGGTCTGGGCTGGAGGGTCAAGGAAGGAGCTGTGAGTAGAAGAATGGTATTTAAAGCTGTGATTCTGGGCAGGGTCACCTAGGGAGTAAGGACAGAACCTGACCCATGGTTGGGGCATTTATTCTTTCATTCACCAAATATGCAGGTAAGCAGCACCTGCTGGGCACTGGGGATACCACAGTAAATAAAATAGGCAAACATCCTGACCTGCAGGAACTTACTTTCCAGAAAGGGGAGGAAAGGTTTACGGACAAATGGGACAGTGGCCAGGGAGGGATGAGGGGTCAAGAAGGAAGAAATAACAGCTTTGTGTAGGCTGAGATCTGGGAAAGATTTAGAAGGAAAACTGATGGGTGTGACAGAGAACTGTGAGACGGGGAGAGGAGATGGGTCCTAGCGATGAGCTAGCCTTTACAGGAGCAGTTCAGTTACAGTGGCAGGCGAGAAGGCAGAGGATATGGCCTGGATGCTGGAGGGAGTGTGGGAGCAGGTGGATGTTCTCCTTGGCCCTGTGGGCAGGGTGTCTGTGTGGGCACAGTGGACATGCACATAGGCTGCGGCTTACTAGGCGAGGGGCCCTGAGCAAGGTGCCTTACCTCCTGAGGCTCAGGGTCCTCTTCTGTAAAAAGGGAATCAGGGCCTTCCAGACATCCCACCATGAGGATGTTCCCTGAAGGTCTCTGCAAACTGCACCCCCATATGATGGTTGTGTGGACTTAATGCCACTGTTTTGAGGAGTCCCTAGCTTAGTGAGCTCTTACTTGTACTGGACTCTTTAAGTGCCAATTCTTCCTGGTAGTAAGGAGGTCAATGGGGTGGGGGTGGGGGTAGGGGTAGGGAGGAGTATCAGGAGAGCGAGGCCTGAGATATGACGGAGAGGTCCTTTCGGAAAATGAGTCAGGGCCCCAGGGCCATAAAAGAGCAAACCAGGAGGACTTATCAGTCAAGCTGAGCCCCTTCAGCACCAAACCCCAGAACTGCCCCCCTTGTTCCACATCTGTACATGTGTGTACATGTGCACACTTTCTCCAGAGGGAAGGGCCTGGGTGCATTTCCCTTCTCATCAAGGCTTTTCTCTTGAGTAGCGACTCTAGAAATGTTACCACCAGAATGATAGGTGACATCCACTTGCCTGTCAATAAATCTTTACTAAGGGCTTTCTTTGTGCCAGGCTCTGTACTGAGCTGAGATCACAGCAGTGAACAAAGACCCTGCCCCTCATGAAGTTTGCACTCTCTCTCACACACGCGTACACATACACACTCACCCTACTTTCCCTTTGGTCAGCCTGGGAGCACACTGGGTCTGACCAAGGAATCCTAAGCCAGATCTCTAGGTCCCACTCAAACTAATCACCAACAAGACGAAGAGGCTCTTTTGCCCACTATTTGTGAGGAGGCCCTCAGGACCACCTTATCTTCTGGCCCAGGCGCCCTCCCCACCTTCATTCTGCAGGGCCCTTGGCAAGTCCCAGAAAGTGTTGACCGCTTCACACTCACATCCATCAGCTCAGCTGACCTGACCAGAGCACTTTTCTAACTTCTAAATCCTTGATTTTTAAACTTTTAAAAGTGGTGGTGTCTTTATTCAAATAAAACCTTCAGAGAACTTTAATATATAAAACAACTCAAAGTGGAGACATTCCGGATGAAGCCTCACAGGTCTCTGAGAAATCCGCCCAAGCTTTGAGATCCTGAAACAGCTGGAAACCACTGGTCCGAAGCCTTCGCTCTGCACAGGACCAGCGTACATAGGAACAGGACCAGCGCGGGCGCTCAACTATCCTCAATCTGCTTCACTGCCTCGGACCTGTATTCCAGACAGACTATGAGCTTCTTGGGGACAAAGGCTGCCTCACTCATGTCATTTTCCAGAGCACTTTGCTTGGGGCTGGGCTGCAGGAAAACTTGCTGTTGAATGTCTTCTGCGGCTTCCGGGCCATGTCCAACCTCCACAGATCCTGCCACTGTTGAGAACACCTGCCAGCCCCTTCATCCCTCCCACATCATTCAGTTTGTTGAACCCTAAAGTCTCAGGCTTTCCCCACTCACCCCAGAGGGACTTGAGGCCTCAGGAATTCCCTTCTCAGCTACTCACCACTCCAGATGGGTGGAGTTTGGGCACAGGGTACCCCAGGGCTCAAAATGAAGGCTCTTTTCGAGAATGAAAGCAGAACCCACTGAATAGTGGAAGAGGTCAGCCATTTAGAGCAGCGATCCACCGCAGTGAGGAGACTCGGAAACGTTCAAGTCCAAGCAGAGCCACAGACTCGGGGAGGCAGGACTGGAATGTGACTCAAGCTGAAACTTGAGACAGTGAGAACTGTGATCTACACGAAGGGGTGAGGCCTGCCTCAAGATCAGCAAGAAAGTGCACATGTAAGCGTTCTGCACGCACAGCTCCGGGAAGGGTCTAAGGCTACAAAGCAAACTATTAAGAGTGGTCCCTGCTGGTGAGTGATGTGGGCTGGAGAAGTGGCACATTTGCTTTTCCTTTCGCGTGCCACCTTCCTCGGGCTCTAATTCCAAATGCACATTTCAGACAGGCTGGGTCAAGGCACTCCCTGCGTTACTCATTCGCGCCTTCAAGAACCATTTCCTGAGCCTGAGATGCTGCGAGCAGTGCCTGGCATGGCGAGATGAAGAGAGGAACCAGGCTAAGCCTCCACCCTACTGAAGAGTGTTCTAGTCTCATCTGAACCCTGCCACTGCCTGGTTACGTGACTATGGTATAGGCAGAACACCTGTCCCCAAAGATGTCCACGTCTAATGCCCAGGACCTGTGAATGTGATATGTTCCATGGCATGGGAGGATTAAGGCTACAGATGGAATTCATGGTGCCAGTCAGCTGACTTTAAAATAGATCTGGGTAGGCTCAGTGCAGTCAAAAGGGTCCCTAAGTGGGGAAGAGGAAGGCAAAAGAGTCAGGCCAAAGATGGCATCCTGAGCAAGGCTCTGCTGGCCGCTGGTGGGCTTTGAAAATGGAACACAAGTGTGAAGCAAGGAATGTGGACGGAGTCTAGAAGCCGGG